CAATTAATAGAAGATTCATCGATTAGCACTGTGTGAACCCTGCAGAAGGGGAGCCACAACCACTAGCACAACAACCACACCAGCCAAGAGGAGCCCAGCAGCCACCCCCACCACCTCAGCAACCAGATTTTCAGAGAATGATGCAATACATGGAGCATCTAACTTTGCAGCAATCAATGACCCATAGGGGTCAATGTAATATTAATGAAAATTTTTATAACTTATCTTTACACATTGCTCCAAGTATGCAATGGACGTCACCACAGGAGTTTGATGCCTTAGTTCAATGGCCTGGGGACAGTCCCTATTTTCCAGGAGGGGGTGAAGGTGCAGCTGGTGCACAGGGAGCACAAGAGGAAGATGAGGAATCGAAAGAAGAAGAAAATGAAGAAGAAAGTGAAAAGGAAGATTAAGAGGGAGAAAATTTTAATTTTAAGTTTTTTATTTTATTTTTTATTTTGGTGTGTTTAAGTAAATTGGGTAATTTGATGTTTTAAGTTTTGTGTTGAATTTATTTGAAGTTGTTTTGTTTTGAATATTCTGAATTGATATTTAATGTGATGAATGTTTAAATTATTGTGATTAGATTTTTGTCCCATACAATTTGTTTTAGAGCATTTATGAGATTATTGTTTATTGTCCAATTCAAATCTGGAACTGAAGAAAACCATTTTGATTGTTTCCAATAACAAGTGATTTTAGAATGATGAGTATGATAGTGAAAAGGAATTGATGAGGAGAATTAGGAATTAACTGAATTGGAGAAACTAGCCAAAACCCAGGTGAGTAGAGTACCAAAAATAGTTCAAATTGAGTGTCAACACTTTGTGATGATAACTGGTATTGGTTGATTTTTTAATGTGATTGTATGTTGGCGAGACTTGAAAATGATAAAGGCATTTTTTTTTCTTTGTAGTAGATATAACTCAGAGCCAAATAGCCAACCCTGCATTAATTATAGGACATCCATTTGAATCCCTTCTGAGCCAAAAATAATATTGTTTCTTAAACAAAACCCCTGAGCCTAAAAACTATTTGTCTACCTTCCTATATTTGAGAAAGAAAATGAGTATGAATGTTATTATTTTTCCTATTGTTGGGTATTGTTATTGTTGTCCTACGGGTATTATTGGGGTTATTGTTAAAAAAAAACGGTGTAAAGGAAAAGGAAAGCAAAGCTTAAAAATTATGGCAAAGTCAAAAAGGATACATGCAAAAGCATGAGAAAAAAAAAAGAGTTCAAAGGGGGGAATAATAACTTGTGAGATTATTAACTCACTATCATTGTGTTAGGAGAAAAAACATGAAGTCTGAAACCCGACTTGAGGAAATATTAAACAGGAATCATTCATATGAGTTGAATTTCTCAAATACTTTTGTATATCCCAGAAAAACCAATGATTCTTTCTTAGCCTAGCCCCATTACAAGTCTCCAAAGACCTTTTGATTTAAGTCTTGCTTAACAAATGTTGACTACTTAAAGATGATTATTAATATTGGATTGTCTAAATGAAGTGATTGAGTGAGATAAACACTTACCTGTGAGAATTAGAGATGATTATATATAACTCTATTTCAGAGATCATGTTTCTTTGAGGATAGTTGAAGACTAATTATTCTTTGTTAGTTTCTGTAACTTGAATGCTTATGTGTTCTATTTTCATTTGGAGTTGTGAGAATCACCTCTGAAAAATTTTTATGTTGTGTTTCTGGAAGAGAAAGATATAATAGGTGATGGTTTTGTTTTGGAGAAATTACTTTGCTTGGGACAAGCAAGATTCTAAGTTGGGGGAGTTGTTAAGGGGTAAAAAGTTGATATAATTATGCTTTTAATTGTTATGAAACCACTTAACTTATGCTAATTCTAATCTATTTTTCTCCCAATATAAGATGAATCCGATAATACCTTGATACAAGAGTAAGGAGCATAATTGTCAGCATAAGTGGAGTAAAACTGGAAGAAGGAAGAATATTTTCAGCCTGGAAGTCGCTCGAGCGGGATAGACTCTCGCTTGAGTGAATATCAGTTATTATTCTCTGGAAGTCAGTCGCTCAAGCGACACAAGATTCGCTTGAGCGAATATCAGTTATTCTTCTTTAGAAGTCAGTCGCTCAAGCACAAGAAGATTCGCTTGAGCGAATGTTAGTTATTCTTCTCTGGAGTTCACTCGCTCAAGCGAGCGTTTTTGTCGCTTGAGCGAAAACAGGTAACTTTCGCTTGAGCAAAAGATGCGAAGCCCAAAGGCCTAAAATTTTCCTATAAAAAGAGAAGATGTGTTTTGAGAAAAGCAAGCAGTTTTGGAGAAGAAGAGGCGCGACTACTGCAAGGGTTTTGTCCAATCTTCATCAATTCTTCACTTCTTCCACATTTAGAGCATTGTAATAGCCAACATGAGTGGCTAACTTCATTCTATTGGGATTGGGTTTACTTCCTTTGAACTCTTTTGTATCATGGTGATATTTTGAGATATTAATCTATGTTTTGATGTTGTTATTCTTATCCTTTGTGCTTTGGAATGATTTATTCTTGATGTTTGAGGTATGATTGGAAAATATATCTTGAACCCTAGATCACGGTAAGAATATTTGTTACGTTAATTACCAAGAATGGAATGAATGTATCAATTGCTTAACACCCTAAACCTAATGTTGGAAAATCTCTTAATTGTGTGAGGAATCAACATTTATTAGGTTTTCTTATGAATTTCATGTGTGAGGAATCAACATGGATGATTTGAGTAGGTGGCATCAACATTGTTAGGTTAATTGATGTTCTTAAGTGACATAGTCATTACAAAAGAGGGATAAGGAAGGAAACCAATCTTAAGTGCCTTTAATTGATATTTTCTCAACAATTTACAGTTCTTTGTCATTTAATTTCAATTCAACTCTTTATGCAAAATCCATTATGTTTTAATCTACTTAGTAAGCATAAAATTGGGAATTTCTATTGAAACTGTTCCTCGTGGGATCGACTTTTATTTAATCGAAATACTATACTGCAATTGATAATTTTGGTACGCTTGCCAATAAATCAACAGGGTACAAAGAAAATAGAGAATTTTCAAAGAAGAAGTAATTTCTACCTAAAATCCCCTGGCCTTTTATTAACAATGTACTATATAACATGCACTTTTGGCATAAGCGTCTTACAGGGAGGAAAAAAACAAAAGAGCAAATAAGCAAGATTCCTTCCCCATCATTCCCTCATAACTGAATTTCACTTTGTGTTGGGGCCAAGACACGTCACAACAAAATCAAAAAAAATTTGAGGCAAACGTGATACTCTCTATGGCCTTCCTTCCTGTGTTGGGACCTCCGCTGAGTCTCACCACAAGAAATTTTATAATTAGCTAGAAAAATTTGCTACAAAATTTATTTTTCACTAATTTGTAGTTAATTAGCTATGGAATAGTGAAGGAATAAAGTTGTAACTAATTTGTAGTAAAATAACTATGGAATAGTGAAGAAATAAGGTTGTAGCTAATTTGTAGTAAAATAGCTAGAAGACTAATATTTTTTGTAACTATTCCCTTACTTAGTAGAAAAATAATTTAGCTAGAAAAATTTTTGTCACTAATCCCTCACTATAAATATTAACTATGTTACTTTTTGAAGCTATTTCCTAGCTAAATTGTGTAATATACCAACATAGCTAAACTCGTAACAAATTTATAACAAATTTCAAATTGAAAAAAAAAATAAATTGTTGGGAACCATTTTTGTAAATTATTTTAGTTTTATAAAAAAATATTTACAAAAAATACTTGTAAATTAGTCTAAAAATATATAATTATAAAAAATAATTTTTGATCTTTTTGAAAAAATATCAATAAAAATTAATTACAATTTTTTCTTAAAAAATTATTTCTACCAAATTTATTATAAATATATAATTATATATAATTGTTTTTATCTAAACTATTTGGAAATAATTATAATTTTTTTAAAAAAATATCTAAATTTTTTGATAAATATTTAAAATGATTTTTTGTAAGTTTTTTATAAATTTAAATTTGTTGGAAGTATTTAATAATATTTAAATTAATAGAAAATTTTATAAATAATATTTTTTTATAATTTTTTTAAAAACTATTCTTTATAAAAAATAAAAAAATTATTATATTTAGAAATACTAATTTATCTTTTTTTTATAATTCTTTTAATAAAAATCCTAATTAATCTTTTTCCCATTTTCTTCATGTATCCTTTTCTTCTAAAACCTAATCGGCGCTATAGCTATCATCGCTCCCGCATCGTTTTTACTACCGCTCCTGCACCATCCTTGCTTCTGCTCCCGTTATAATACGGAACCTGAGGTTTAAGAAAACACTTTACCCTTTTTATTTTATTCTATTTTCTTCTTTTCTTCCCTAGGGTTTTAACGCTAGGGTTTCAGTGTTCACTCTCTATTTTTCTCTCTCACTCTGTTTCTCTTTCTTTGGGCATAGCCATGGATAGGTACCAGAAGGTGGAGAAGCCTAAGCCCGAGTCTCCAATCAACGAGAATGAGATCCGAATCACAACCCAGGGCGCTATTCGCACCTACATCACCTCAGCTCCTTTAATGTTCGATTACCTTTCGTGAGAAACCTTCGCCTTTTGTGCGGATTGGGGTTTTCATTCAGGGTTGCATTTTCGGGCTTTGAGACTTAGTTTTGTTTATTTGTTTGTTTGCTAAATGCTAGTGTGTGGGGGTTGGATTAGCAGGGTTTGGTTTGTGATATGTGGCATTTTGTATTTTTGTTTGTTTTCGTATGACCTTTGATTTTGGAAACTCTTTATTTGCGATAGAAAATGTTTTATGTGGGTTGAGTATTGAGATTGTCTCCTTAGTTTCTGCATTCAAAGCTAAAGCACCAGTAACATGTGGAGTTCAAAGCAATGAGAATAGACTTTTCTGAAGAGAACCAAATAACGTGAACTGCATAATCACGGAGTACCTCTTTCTTTTGTTACTTTTTCCCCTTGGCTATTAAGCTTATTTATTTATACAACAATTACATAGGCCTTTTTGCTTCCCACTTGGCATATTTATGTGATGTTGGGTTGTATTTTATCTCAAGTTCATTGAATGAAAAAATCAGCCGCATGATCGCCTTACGCACCACTTTTAAAGATTTCATTTAGTAATATTGAATCTATCAGCGTTAAAATTTACAAACTAAAGCAGTTCATTGATTGAGAGACATTCATTTCTTCACCCTTCTTGTAAATGCTTCTGAACCAATAAATATTAGTTAATGTTGGATCACTGATAATTTCCATCACATGCCCTGTATTCATGACTCAATGATATCCATATTTTCTGGTGAAGTGAAACTTTTGAGTAAGTATTATGTAAACATTGATTGAGATTATAGAAATATTTTTTTCATAGATAGAGATTCTAAGTCATATTCTTTTTTGGTGACACAATGCTAAATCATACTAACATGTTCTCCCAACAATACAATTTATGGGACCTGCATTGAGAGTTATTGCAGGTACCATGTATGTTGGAGCAACACTTAAAGATTGAGAAGGTGAGTAATTTGGAGCACAACTTCCAATGGTTGGGTCATTTGATGCCACTATTTCTACCTGTTTTGCACTTGGGTCATTTGGTGCTACATAAAAATTCCCTTCACTTAAAATGGTTGGGTTAGCACTACCTCCTATAGCATACATTTTCTACTCATCATATTTGTTGTTGACCACATGGGCGTAACCAAATCTTACCTTGCATTTTCATCCAAGTGAATACAGTATTTATTTCCATCGAACATGCAAATTCAATCCATAGAAAAATCACTCTTACCTTGACATCCTTTCAGTTAGGCCACTAGCAAACTGGTTGAAGGCTATTGATACTTTAATTATTTTATCCCTTGTGAATTGGTCATTGTGTCCTAGCAACATAACCTACAGGCACGTTTCCTCATTCAAATATTATGTTCTCTAAAAACATATGTATGTGCCCAAATTCTAAGAAGGGGGATAGGTAGCAACGTGGTTACTATGGGTTTGCATAATTTAAAATGATCCGAAGATGCATTTTAGATGGTGAAACATGCGGCTATAATTGCTGATTGGAACAAACTATACTTGGTGGTTTATGATATGGTAATAATTGTACATGCATAATAAACTACGAAAGAGGATTGTTTAACACCTTTTTCTACTAGCAGTTTGATTAAAATTTGTTAAAAATTACAAAAGCATGAAAGTATTAAATAAGAAGTGAATCTTGCTAAAATTTATAATTTGCAACAAGTTTTAGTCTAAATAGAAAGTGTATTGCTAATATTCTTTAATTATGAAAATATTGAAGTAATTTTTTACTATTGATCTTTGGGTTTATTGGATTATTTATATACAGATACCCTGCTTTGATTTCCGTAAAAAACTCAAGATATATTAAGTAGATAACAAATATGTGTTTCTTTCTTCCTTTAATAAATAAAAGCCAGCCACATAAGTTTGTAAAGAATTAAATTGGGGGAAAACTTTTCATACATCACAACGCTCGAACATTTGTGAGTTTTTGGCTATCCACACATAGATTAAGATTTTTCGATTTCCAATTTGAAGTTATACTGTTCTTTATAACTTAGTACTAACGAATAGGGTTCTAGAATCAACAACTTCACTGAAAATCTTCCTCCACACCTTGGAAACCTTTCTCGCATTAAAAGATTGTAAGCCCTGTATTATATCCTACTTGATTTATTTTATTTAACTTTGCTGCTGAATTATCAAGCTACAATAGAGAAAAAAATCATAAGATGATATTTGAATATCGGTTACATATTATGATATTATTGTATGAGTTTTTAATTGATATTGGGAGAAAATTCTTATCATATTCCCTCACATTAAAAAGATTTTTTCATAAAAACTTTTCCATTTTTTTAAAACTTTTATCTAGTTACAAATGTTATTACTTTTAAATAATTATTATAAAAATTCATAAATATTTATCCTAGAAAAACTACATCCCAAGGATTTTACTATCTTAAATATTAATGTTATGAACAGATCCATTCATGCTATGATGTTAAGTTTTATTGTGCCTATAGAACCAATAAAGGTTCCACCATATTTTATCATAGGTTGTAATGAAGTGTTCACCTTCATTGGGCAGTTAGAGTTCTTCTATATATTTTTCTGATCTTTGTTGATTCTGTAGTTGGATAAAGACTGCTGGTGAAAATAAAAAAGGTAGAATTTATGGTATATGTCAGAGTTTGGATCTTGGTATTTCACATGTTTCATCTTCATCAGTTGAAGGTCCCTCTTCCCAAAATCTTACCACACCTCTCACTGAAGAAATCACTACCTTAGCTACACAGATATCTAGTTTGCAAGAGCAGATGAAAACACAGTTGCAGGCACAAACTGATATGCAAGCATTGATGCAAGCACAAATGAAGATACAAGCAGAAATGCAAACACTCATGCAACAACAAATGCAAGAAGAAATGCAGTCTTTCAAGAAAGATATATTATCTGCCTTAAAGAAACAATGATGAAAACATACTTTAAACTTTGTTTCTATTTGTAATTGTGTTATACAGAACTTTTTAGTTGAAATATTATTTTTGTTATGTTTTAATTGTTTGAAACATCATTTTAACTATGTTTAAACAATACTTTTATATTGAAAGTTGATAAGTTTATCTTCTTTTTTAAGAATGAGTAATAATTTAAATATTAAATATTTGATATTATAAATTTTGATAAAAATTATGAGGGATTATCTATGAAATAGTGAGAAAAACATTGCAAGGGATTAGCGAAGAAATAATTGTGAGGCATTAACCACTAGCTAGAGATAAATTGTTAGGGATTAGCTACTGATTAGCGAGAGAAAAATTGTGAGGGATTAGCTACGGATTAACGAGAGAAAAATTGCAAGGGATTAGCTACGGATTAGCGAGAGAAAAATTGTGAGGGATTAGCTACGGATTAGCGAGAGAAAAATTGCGAGGGATTAGCTACAAGTTTTTGGAGATCAAATTAGCTAGGGATAAACAAAATTTCATCATTTAAATTAGCTAGGGATAAACAAAATTTCATCATGTAAATTAGCAAGGGATTTAGCGACAGTTTAGCGACAAAATTTGCTACAAGTTTGAGAGAGAATACATTTGTATCTAATTAGCTACTTGGATTTAGCTACGGACTATTCCATAGCTATTCCGTAGCTAATCTGTAGCAAAACATACCAGCGAGAGATTAGCTATAAAATAGCTACGGAATCTGTCATAGCTAATATGTAAAATTCTTGTAGTGTCTTGTGGGATCCCCTTAATTGTCTCAGTGGTTACACCAGCATAGTTCATGGTATTAGTGAGAGATATTGGATTACTAATCCTAATAACATTACAATGAAGAATTGATTCAAGAGGCTCCAAAGAAAATCCCACCTCATGAGGATGAAGAAATTTCTACGAAGAGGAATAATTGTTTGAAAATATTTTTACAACTAGTGAGAATAGAAGAAATGTTGTACTTGAGTATGCTAAAATCTCATCAAAGTCAAATGGTTTTGTTTTTTTTATTCGGTAGAAGATAAGTGGACATTATATCCTAAATCTTGGCAGGTGATGCATGGTTCTGGTGTCCCTCTCCTTCAAAAGCTAGTATTGAAATTTCTTGCACCACCTTGCTCGTCACCTTATCATGAAAGAACTTGGAGGACTTATTCATTCATTCACTCATTGAAAATAAATAAGTTGAATCCTAAAAGAGCATAGGGCTTGGTTTATGTGCATACTAATTTATGGCTTCTAGCTAGGTAAAGTGAAGAATATAACCAAGGAAACTCTAAAATGTACATAAGTGGAGATGCATGGGATGACTTTGATAATGTTGGAAACCTTAGAGTGGCAACATTATTTCTTGATGAACCAGACATGGAAGTTGTTTTATTTACCAATAGTGCTCAAAGAGAAGATGAAACTGATACTATTTCTATTTCTAGGTTGTAGACCCCTAATTTTGCCCGGCCTCTCAATAAAGACCAGAAGACTTTCTCTCTGAAGGTGGGTAAAACTTCGGTGGACGTCCATCGGCATTAACCGGCTTCCGTCTGAAGAAAGCAAAGCTTCCCTGGAGTCCCAGAACACAAAATTTGGCCAAAACACTCGAGACAGCCATCCCAGAAACCAGGACAGCCGTCCCAGACAGGCCAGACGCACATCCCAGATGTGAGACGCGCGTCTCACCCAAAAACATCATCTGAGATGGCCGTCCCGATTCTCAGACGGCCGTCCCAAGCTTCTCAGACCGCGGTCCCTGTTTTCTGGACCCCAGACAGCCGTCCCGAGCTGGCTGGTTGAAAAAACTATAAATAGGGACTTTAGATGATGTTTTTTTACACACCTCACTCCTCTCTTCTCTCCCTCTTTCGAATGATCTCTCCGATTGTCTATAAGGTACCAATCGGTTAAGGAAGTTTCTTCCGGCATTTGATTCTTCTTAAAGTTTTCGTAGTGTCGGTCCTGTATTTGGGGAGGAGAGTCTTTGTAGTGCGGGGGATTGCAAAAACGCATCCTCACAGTTGAAGATTTGTAATAAAAAGCTTGTTACGGAGGTTCTTTTCACTTCTCTTCTCTTTTATTGCTTTATTTACTGCTTTATGTATGCAATAGAAAATAAAATCATGTAAATAACCATTTTTAATATTGTATAATAAAATAGGGTAATAGCGTAAATTCTCTTAATCTTTACTTTATGAATTAATCCGTCATAGGGAACCCGAAAGGGGCGTCGTGGGGGTGTTAACACATTCCCCACGCGTAACTAACTCCCTTACCTAACTCTGGTTATAATGGCCAAGTTTGGCTTTTCTTAAAATCAACGCCTTTTTTATCCTTTTCCAATGTTTATGGTCAAAATATTGGTGGAGACTCCATAAGAACCTTTTTGCGAAAACCTTGCTTTTATTAGAGGATAGTTCAGTTGTTGAGCACCTCGGGAGCAATGATCACATTCTTAAATAAAATGTGAGTCTAAACCATCTTTTCACGATCGCTCGCATAAACGTTCGAGATGTCCCTAGACGTCGGAACGGACGACGGCGACAGATGGCGACTCCACTGGGGAAGATAGAGAGTTGATCCCATTTAGTGATGGATAAATCCAAACTAAGTAAAATATTTGAAATTATGCCTTTACCCTCCTTTGTATGTTTTATTGTATGGCTTTAATAACTTCTGTATGACTATTTTCTACAAATTGTCTGAAATACAAACTGTACACAAAAACCCTTGCACACTATAGTCCCTCTATACCCGAGGGCAAGAGTGAATACCTATAGGGAGTGGGTGGCAGATACGACCGGCTTGTTGGCACACGGGGCTACAACCGTTGTCGAAAAACCACCAACTCAAGGTGATAACTCTCTTCTTTTGGTCCAAGGATGTTGACACGGAGTTCCGTGCATGATCCGAAGATTGAGAGATTGAGAGGTCCCTATAATGGGGGCACCTTGGGGACCTTTGGCCTTGGTGAGAACAGTTTAGAACCGTCTTAACCAAGCACGTTTCTGCAGGAAAACCCTACCTCGTGATTAAATAAGCGTGGCTCTGCTCGTGGATGAGTGAATTGTGTGTGCATTCGTTTGCTGCATTTGTATTGATGCATTGGTATAGGGTAATCATACAATAGACAAAAAATAACAA